AAGCTGCCAAAGGAGGAGAGAAGGCTCCTCTTCAGAAAAGTCACTCTCCCCATCCTTCCTGCATCTGTGGTGGGCTGTAGCACCAGTGTGCCTACAGCAAAGACTGACAGATGGAGAGACACTGCCTCCTGTGAAAGTGAGGACCCAGACCCAAGATTTCAAGCTTTCTGAGGTTGGAGAGCTATGAGTTATGCTAATACTGACAACGAAGAAGGAACAGAAAATATAATTCTCTTTTTTCTCAAGCTCCCTTTGTTCACTTTCCACAAACATTCATGCAGTTCAAATTCTACTTTCATGAACATTTACCAAAAGCCGGTTTTAAAATCTTATAAACCAGTATTTGCAGGAAATGAACTTCAGATTTTCTCTGGAACAGCTTGTTCTTATGACCAGGCAAGAAATGGAAATAACATCATTTTACTTACCTGACCATGCACTACTAATACACTTTCAATAAAAGCAGGATATTTTTAGTCTTCAAGAGGAGACCACATTAGTTATTAGTTGTGAATTATTTGCTCCGTTATGTCATACAGCAAGAACCTTGTTTTCCCTCTTCCTCCACCATTTTTGGCTGCAGATATATATATGGAATGAAAGCTACCAATCAATCAGCTGTGAAGCGTGTTATACTTTTAGTCACATCAGATCCCATTTAAGATGGTCTGGAGTATTAAAGCTATTTAAATGCAGGCCAACGCCTGAACAACATAATCCCCTTTGCTTGATAGGAGAGGGCTGGTTAAGTCTGCTGGGAAGACAAACCCAAGCAGGGTGCACGTTCAAGGAAGACAGTGGTGGAAACACGGCAGTTATCCAAGGAGCTTACTTGACCCCTGTGGTCAGTGAGCTGAAGCTTATGCTCCATGTCATAAAATACTCCAGCTTTTCAGCCTGTCATTCAGTAAAGACCCTGAGATCGAAGTGTCTATTATATGTTTGGTTTACTGTCAAAACCGTCTTTCACACTTCCAAGAACTCCAGGGATACATTGTCGTGTTCAATAATTTTTTAGCATTCTTCATGAATAGGGATTTCCTTGCTCAGCCAGAGCTCCTTGTTTGATTAAAAACCTTGGGCTCAACCTCGGACTCAGCTAAGCACATGCAGAAATGAACTCAAAACTGCAGAGAGGAACGCACGTCAAAGCATCGGAGTTTACCTGACAAAAAGAGATGTTCAACTTGAGGAGTGGTGTGAAGACTAGGTAATTAATTTGTGCTTACAAATGCCTTGAAGAAAAAACACTAGTGCCTTTATTGGCCCTGCTTCACCCAAAATTCAATCAAAAGTATCAAAAAGTGGAGCCAAGTTTCAGGTTTGTTGTGAGACCAGGTGAGTTTCAGGTTTCATTACCAAGTTTCAGGCAGCTCTCTAATCTGCAGCCAGCACATCTGAAGGTAAAGCAGGCTGATACCTACAAAGAAAAGCACTTTTCAGTAATAAATGGAAGGGATTATCTTCAGTGCTTCCAGTGAATACAGCTGCTGGATAGTGTTTTATTTGTTCACTTTGTAAGGATAAAAAAAATGAACTTGTCTTGAGCCATTCAGGTTTAAGACAGGCTTTATCTCCCTGGTTGGAGGAAAAGATTAGCACTTATTAGAGCCTAATCTTAATAATATCCATTTATAAATAGGGCTTCAAATTCTCTAAAATATTTAAACATGATGAAATGGAAAGACTTAAGACAGCTGAAGTCTTAAGAGAAAAAAAAAAACACAAAACCCTGAAGATTTATCTATGAAGATTAAAGTAGCTTTCATGGCAAAGCCCTAAGAAAATAAAAGAAAATAAAAGACCAGAAGAAGGAAAACAGCAGCCTTTACTAGTGTCTGTACAAGGCAAATTAAGCTATAGATGTATTAAAATGGCTTAAGAAATTATAAAGACTTAACCATTTAGTTGCTGTTTCATAGCCAAAGACAACGCAACTGTTCTTTGTCTAATCATTTGTCTAGGTGTTTAGAGAGTCTTCGCTTTTCATATAAGTGTTAAAGCATTCAGGTGTATTCAAGTATTAAAAATAGAAATGGCACTTTTCCCCAAACTGTAGGAAGGAGAAAACATAACTCTTGTTCGTATGCAGATATTATAGAGAAGAAGCAAGAGAGTTACTCGCTGATCACAGGGTGAGGCCAGGTGGCAAGTATTGCCTTGAAGACATTCCACATTTTAGCCCCCTGAAATTTCCACCTCTGCCCAGGATCATCCTTCCCTTTTGCTCAAAAGCTTCACCATCATAAGTGAAAATGGTCTCTTATGCCCAAAACTCTGAGGAGCTTGGATATGAAAGGCCTTTTCTTGAAGGCTTTTCAGTAGAGAATTGGTGTGAAGAGCAGGATGGCAAGATAAGCACAGTGGTATCCATTGTTGAGAGGGGTTTGCCATCATGTTTAGTACCAACAATGGCTTTTTCCAAGTGTGTGCATCATGAGATGTAGCCATCAAGCCTGAAGATTACCATGTCAGTACTGTATTCAAACAGATGGACAGCATTTTTTTTCTGGGTAGACAGGGAGTTGGCAGTTCGGTTTTTACGGAAGGATAGGCTGAATTCGGTTTGCTTCTTCTCCTGCCCAGTTACTGGTCTATGATAACACATTTTTAAATGCCCAAGGTTATACAGATATGAGCCTAAACTCACCTTGCATCCATTCCTCTCTTCCTCAGACTCACCGCACTACTTTTCTTAACTGATATCCCAAGACTCTCAATGCTGCTTTTCACACAGCCTTTTGTAAGACTGTTGGCTGCCTTTCCATGACTTGCCGTTAATATGGGTCTCATATAGGTCTTGGCTGGTTTAGGGCAGCATTTATCTAAACTGAACTGAGCAATTCTGATGTTTGAAGTGGTTAGCAACTGCAGCGTTTCAGTTTCTCTCCATTCTGGAATGAGAAAAAACAGGAATCAGGAGATAGTATGTCTAAGATTGTTTTTGTTTACAATAACATGCACGAACTTCCTAGAAAGACTGAAGCTAAGAAATCCTCAACTGAACTTTATATATTGACGTTCCCTTGACATGGTTAGTGAGTGCACCTCAGTTTTGCAGTTTATTTCTGTAATAGCTTTGTAGACCTTCTTGAAAGCCTTGCCAAGGTATTTCTATGTCATCAATATTTTCTTCAAAAATTGGATATAAGAAACAGTAAATGGGCAGTTTATACGTGAATAATGATTAGCTTTAACAGCAATATCAAGTTATTTCCCATTGCCCTAGTAAAAATAGTTCAACTATTTCACATATATAAAAAAAGTGAAAGAATAAGACTTTCTTTCACTTTCACAAAAAGGAATGCAGATCAGTCAAGTTTTACAGCCAGAATGCTAACGTGTCATTTTTTAAAGAACTTGCACTGGAATTGCTTACAAATACGAGGAAATATTGCTTATTTAGCATGTCTGTAGGGGAAAGAGAGAGATGCTTCTCTAGAGAAGAAGATTTTTAATATAATCATTAAAATAATTCTATCTAGCAAAAGTTTGCAATTTTGCTGCTGCTAGGCTTCGCAAGACTGCAGTCCTGCCAACTTTTACTGGACTTTTACTGTTCATTTGTCCCAACTCCTATATATTTAGTAGACTATGTACAAAATGTGATAAGGCTTGGTTTGGTCTGCTTGTATTAAAATCCTTGCGTTGCTAAACCACTGCAATGGCATATTGAAATAAGAAAAATCAAAAGCTCAGATCCTGTTTTTCTGGGCTTGTAGGAATATCAGCTCTTAGAAGCACATGTCATATTGCTATCACTTCTAACTTGCTGAATAACTTTTAACAAGCTGTGCGGAAAGCACTGTGATCAACAGACAAATGTTACTGGAGTCATTGACATTGAAATCGGTGCTAGGTGGGTCAGAAAAGGTGATGGAGGAAAACTGATTTGTGCATCGTCAAAGTCTTTGTTAAAAAAAGAACTTGCCTGATTCCTGTGTTTAAGTTGCTGGGAAACTTCCCATTGTAAAAGATCTTTGTAACTTTTCCTGTTCTATAATTAATTCTTGAATTGTTTGCAGCAGGCCTTCAGAATTCAGAAAGTCTAGAGAAATGACTTTTATTAGTTCTGTACAAGTTTGCAAGATGTAAACTTCGAAAAGATTTCTCTCCTCCAACAATTTAATAACAGATATGCTTAGCTCCCTTTAGGCACATAGCTCCTAGAGCGGTATCTGTATGTCTGGATAAGCTATCTAAATGCAGTGCACAATGGATGGGAGAGGAAAGCATCTCAGGAAGCTGATCTAAAGCACTGATTGTGCAAATGCTTTCATTCTATGCGAGAATTTCTTTCTTGTTCTCATTTTAAGAACTACAAGTGTAAATATATCCACCTCTAAAATATTCTGCTCCATATCGCTCCAAAAAAGGGGAAAACTTCGTCCCTTGATCATGTCAATCAAAGAGATATCAAAGGAACATTTTTGACCTCCCAGCAGACCCTCCTTTCCATAATTAGCAATTTAGATAGATAGAAACATCCTGGGCTCTCCTATTAGCGAGTGGGGGTTCCCCAGTCTCCTTGAGGCTCTGTTTCTGTGCTTTGTTCTGAACTGTCATTGTTGGCCTCTTTTTAAGTGACCACCTTTATTTTTTTCTAATTGCACCTGCTTTGATAATGAATAAGAGATTAAGCCTATGAACTTCAAAAAGAGATGTTTTTTGGGTCCCAGTTATGTTGGGTGATTGCAAACAGTAAGCTAATCAGACTGGGACACCTCTGAGCAGAAATTGAACTGTGATGCTTAGGGAACTTTAGTATCAATATCAATGATCTACTTTCCGTGTTTTTACAGCATGATTTTGGACTTAGGTATCTCAGCTCTGCCTGAATACTGCTAGAGATGCCAAAGGTCTTTACTAGATAGATTTCTTGCTGTGCTTTTCACAGAAAACTATTTACAAAATGCCATAATTGAATGTAATCATTGTAAACACTGGTACCCTACAAATGAGCCCTCTCTCCAAGGAAAATCCTAGTAGAGCCCACAAAAAAGTACTTACTATCTCATAACTATGTAAGGTGGTGGCTGCTACTATATAGGGGGGCTGCTAGCTACATCTGTGTTAAAATTGCAACCTTGGTCATGGCTCCACCAGAATTTTAGACAAAGCAATTAGCGTATGTTAGATATTTGGCTATAAAGAAAGGTGTCTTTATAGTGCAAATGTTGTAGTCTAGTTATTGGACCATTACTGAGAAAAGACAAAATGGAATATCTATCAGGAAATTGCTGACAATACCACAAATAAAGAAGAAAAAGATTCAAGTTGTGTCTAAAAAAATTCAACAAATAAACAAGCAAGCATAAAACAGCTGTTGTATTAAGAAAAAAGAAGAAAAAAAGGAAAAAAAAAAGCTTCACTGGAGTCCTTTTTTGTCCCAAAAAGCAATAGAAATTAATCATCTCTGCTGACATGCCAGAGTTACAGACTAAAACATTAGACCTGCAAGTAAATAAAAGTGAAGATCTTACTGTTAGAAAATTCATGTAAAAATCGTTCCAGCAGAGGAATAAGATCAGAAATTTTCTTCCTATTCCAGCAAGCTGACAAAAGAAAGAATTAGATATCAAGTCACAGTGTGCGTGAATTAATCAATATGGATTTCAAATACATCTTCACGATAGTTGTATTGAGATGAACAGACAATTAATGCATGGGCAAAGAATAAGCTGCTAGAGAAACAGAATTTTTATTCTGAAAATCAAGTTTTCTCATCTTTTTTACACTTAATGAATAAAACTAGTACTTAACTATTAATAATTAGATTGTAATTTCAGGAAATTACATCTTTCTAGATTTATGCAATTTTTCCATCTCTCTTCCACTTTGTGATCTAACAGGCTTTTTCAGCATTCCCCAAAAAAGCATGAAACCGACATATTCAAAGGAAAGGAAAAAATTACCTAATGTTAATCATTACTGTGAACTTTGTTTTTTCATAAACTATTAAATGTCCTTGGCATTAGAAAATACCACAGTGGAATGTAATGTCACAACATTAACAATTCCATTTTCCTTACCAATTAAGCTGACCTTACCTGCCTTTATTATTTATTTCAACAAGAAAAATATGAACATATAATGTGTATCATAGTTAAACTACTATTGCACATCTCTCAAGTTGATGTAAAGTTGACTGCTTTTGTGTTACGTGTTGGGGCTTATTCAGCTTTTGCTCAGTAGCAAACTACTACTTAAGGTACAATTACTGATATTACATTCTTCATACAGTTCCTTGCTTCCGTAGAGACCTACATAGTTCTCTGAATGCCTATCATTATGCGAGACTTTCCATAACTCATTTCTGAAGACACTCCAATAAAAATACCGATTGTGTAATCATTAAAAACAGGAATTTCTCTTCTTTTTATGGCATCCATTTGCACCTCCTACAAATGATCTGTCATTGATTCAAACCCATAATTTAACAAGTACCTTAGTTTTAACATTTTAAATCCAACAAAGATCATAAAACAGTAGAATTTTTTTTTTCATTAAAGGCATATTGTTAAAAATGGTAGTGTGAAAGGGTGTGGGGAATTTCCTGTTTCCCCCTCAGCACCCATTTGCTGATTACCATCATACGGTGCTGTAATAAGGTCCCAAAAACACTGCCTTATAGTAGCAAAATAAAGAAATGAAATGTGATTACTATTCCCCAGTTCAGCAGTGCCAAACACTACTACAGTAGTAGTCTCTGGATGACGAACAAGGAAAGCTGGAATAAGGAATTAGGATTCTTTCTGAAAAATATTCCAATAAAAGTACTTGTTTGCTTTAATACTTAATTTTATTCAGAGACAGTGAAAAATCTTAGCAAAAGGAGTGCTGTGAGAAGGAAGAGTAGCTGAAGATCAGTTAAATCTGATACAGTAAAGAAAATAACCTAATAGACTTCTGCTATATTCTGATACGGGAGCCTATGATTTGTTCTTTTGTAAGAATAAGTAACTTCTCCACTGAATGAAGAAATAACTTTTATTTTTCCCTTTTTTAAATCAACTACCCAAGATACATCTTTGGGTCATGAAGATCAGGCTGTATTTCTCCCTTGTAAGTTGGAAGTATGGTCAAGAGTCAGAATCTGCCACCACAGGCCACTGTCCCGTCGTTCTTGTTGTGTAGTTCATTGTGCAGCAAAGAATAGTGACACAGCTTAGTAAAATACGTTGTTAAATCACAAGTTAAAGACAACTGAGCAATTACAAGGAAGAAAGTCTACCTCAGTCTTTATATGGATGCTATGTAATATACGTTTTCTTTAGGGACCTAGCACAAATAATCATTGATAGTAATTGGCTTGAAATAGCGGGTGGTTTTAACTTCTTCCACTCAAGACATGGCATTTCATTTTAAAACTTATGCACAGGGCATATTGTAACTATATTCTGTTTTAACTGTAGTTATTTCTTCCCCTGCAGGCATTGGGCAAATGGAAGACTTAAAATGGCCCATTTAAGTCACAATGGATATCATAGAATCATTAAGGTTGGAAAAGACCCCTAAGATCACAGAGTCCAACCGTCAACCCAACACCACCATGCCCACTAAACCATGTCCCTAAGCGCCTCATCTACACATCTTTTAAATACTTCCAGGGATGGTGACTCATCCACCTCCCTGGGCAGCCTGTTCCAATGTTTAACCACTCTTTCAGTAAAGAAATTTTTCCTCATGTCCAAAATATGCTCAAGAACAGTGGTTTACAACTGAAAATATGCTGGTTAAGAATTAAAATCTGATACTGGCAAACTCCATCATAAAAATAAAGTCAAGTTATCTCCAATTCCCTATTAGCATCCTTGCTAGATGTAGTAAATCACTTTTTCTGTGTTAAAACAAGTTCACAAGCAGCTTAAGGACTAGAAAACTAGAGCAGAAA